GTGACAATATTGACTGAAGGAACACTTATGAACTGGTAAAGAGAAACATTAAAGAATCACGGAAAAAAAGCCGGAACTATGTAGCAAACGAAAAAAAAGGCAAGGTTTCTTCATTTTCATTGAAATTTTGAAGAAAAATTGAAAGAAAATTTGGTTTTTGGTTTTCTTTATCGATTTAAACAAAGTTAGCCGCTAAAGTGGACAACAACAACAACAAGGGGTTTGAAACCAAAGAAAAAAAACAGAAATGTGTCGATCAACAATGATGAATTTGACAAGAAATTTTTTTTGGGCAAGAAAATAGGAGAAAAAAAGGAAAAAAAAAAGATCCAACATGATTGACACATTGAATTGATTATTCATCATCATCATCATCAGATTTCAAATGTTCATTTGATTCAAATCAATCGAACGAGAAAAAAATTTCAATTCAATTCAATTCCAGATTCGATTCAGTAACAATTTCTTTTCTAGGTGTTTTCATCAATGTCGATGTAATTAAGAGTTTATTAACAACCGAAAAAAAAAGTAGGTAGGCTATGAACTGACCAATGAACCCAAAAGTCAATCAATTTAGAAATGTTGATTTGATTTAAACTCTTCAATTTTGATTTGATCCAATTCAATTGGAGCAAATAAAAACCAAGGACCGGTCATCATCAAAATTATCCATTTTTTGAGGTCAAAAAAAAACCAAACACACCAGATCTGTAAATTGAATGAATCAATGGGTCATTTGCAATTTCCAATTTCCAAATTGATTATTATTTATGCGATTTCTTTGGAAATCATCTAATCAGGCCAAAGCGTGTGTGTGAATTTCATTTTTCCAAAAACTGGAATAAATTTTTTGATAGAAAATTGACCAGATAAACACCGAAACACTGAAACACACGAACGCGTAACGAATTTTTTCTTCTTCTTTTCTTCAGAAGAAGATTGATTTTTTTTTCATAAACTTTTAAATAAATTTAATTTTTATTGACCTCTCTGTGTCTCGGTCAGGTCAATTCATTCATTCATTCACTTGCCAAAGCAAAATCTTATTACAAACAAACCGGAAAAAATTTTACCCGATTATTACCACCAATGATAATACTACCCTTCTTCTTCTTCCATTTTAGAAAAAAACAAGCTTATAATTTGATTATTTATGATTGGAAGAAAAAGAAAAGATAATAAATAAGTGAAAATTATTATAATCATCACGATAATCATTCAATAAATAAATAATATCCAAGAAAAAAAAATGATAATAACTTTTTAAAACTTTCTTGCTTCGTCTGTAGTAGTTTTTGTCCTTTTTTATAAAGCCAAATTAGCCATGGGTTACAAATCATAGATCAAAAATGATCATGACACACACCATAAAATCAGATGGTCAGTGTTAACAACAAAATGTTTCATGTTTGTTTCAAATTTGTTAACACTGTGGGCATAAATCATCGAAATAGAAGACGACGAACAGGTCATCAGGTCTTTGATAAAAGGTGATCAAAGGTGGTAGTAGTAACGAAATGATCTGGTAGTGATGAAATAAATCATCGATAAAAACGATATTGATTTTTGTTTGCTGAATTCAATTGAATGATAATTTACTTGACCTGATCGACAGTAAATTATTATTATTATTTATGAATGACAAATCTGTTATTCGTGATGTTTGAAGAAAGAAGAGAAGAACAGTGAAAACCCTTTGATTTTATTGAAAAACACGTGCAAATAGGCAAAAAAATCACTGGACATATTTTGTTGGGTGGTCGATTGGGTCATTATATCAGGCATTCCAATAAATCAAAAAAAAAAATTTCAATTTTAAAATCAAATTTTAAATAATTAATTTCGATGATTAAAATGAATTTTTCTTTGTCCAAAAATCGATGAATTCGTCCTTGATCTTGAAAAAAAAAGTTTTTCCAAATACTTTTTCTTTCTTGACCACTATTTCATAACGGTGATCAAATGACAGACCAACACATTTGATTGAAATGACCAATTCACAATTGGTGAAAATATTTTTTCAACAAAAAAGAAAGAATGAAAAAAAGTTAATCCTCGTCGTTCGTTGTTTGGATCATTTTACATTATTTACCGTAAACACTGGGATTATAAAATTTGAAAAAATTCGCCAACCTTTTATATTTTCTGTCTCTCGTTTTTCTTCAATTCAATTTGAAATTTTCTTTCTTTTGGTATTTCATTTATATTCAAGGAGATCACACAAAATCATCAATTTATTTGAATATTTGGATTGGATATGACAAACGGCGAAGAGACACACAAATAGGAGTCAATGAGGGTCAACATAAGAAAATAATAATAATCTTCCAAGCCGTTCATTTTTCATTTGAAAAAAAGGAAAAATTTTTTAATCCTTCATTCTCCATTCACACAATTGTCCAATCCGTTAGCCATTATAATGTCTTTTAAAGAGAACAGTTTTGCTGCTGTGGCTGTTTGGTGTTTGTTGGTTCAACAATTTGATATGGAACACAGGAGAGAAAAAAAATCAATAAGTTTGACCAAAGATTTGAATGAAAGGTCAATATTGAAAATCATAACGAGGATTTTAATCCTTTTTTTGAACCAAAAAAAGAAAAATTCAAATTGTTAAACGAGGTGATTAAGAATGAAAAGAAACGAGACTTTTCAAAATCAATGAAAATCTGTTTCAAACAAAACGAAATGACCAAAAAGTTGAAAATTTTTTATTTTATTTTAAAATTTTTAAAAATTTTTAAGAAATTTAAAATTCATTGCCAATGTTGATCTAAAATGACAGATAAAAAGAAAGAAAAAACCTACCCAATTTTTCTTTTAAAGAATTTGTTGATTCCAAAAATACTTACACCGTGTGTGATCAAGCATAACATCCATCCAAAGTCAGTATCCACAAAAATATCCAAAGAAATTATGCGATTATAAAATACTGTCATCATTATTATCGATTTAACACGGATATCGCCATCATTCATCAGCATTATCGTCTGCCATTGTCTCCACTATCCAATCCAAGAGAAAAAAAAATTATAAAAATTATTTTAATTAGAAATTTTATAAATTAAAAACTAAAAATTATAATTCTTATTACTACCAAAACAACTAAATAAATTAATATTACAAACTTATTCTCAATAATAAAATTTTATTCAAGAAAAAATCTATTTTATCATCAATTATGAAAATGATGGACCATTTTTTTTGATGATAATGATGATTGCTGAAACCTCCAAACAAACGGCGGCCCAGAATCTTCCGAATTTCGAAATTTATCATGGACATCATCAGTTTCCTAAGACAAACAAACAAACTAAGAGAAGAAAGAAAAAGGTTTGGGAGAAACTGGCTGCAAATGCAAAAATTGAAAACAAAAACGAGCGCAATTCAATTTAAGCTAATTTTTTTTTTGGTTTTTTAAAATTTGTATTTTTGTAATTAAACAACAACAACAGCAAAAAAAAAGACAATGAATTATAATAATATGAAATCGGTAGCAATAAGAATGTAAAGATATCAGAATTTTCAGAAAAATTAATTAGAAAAAATCAATTTTTTTTTGATGAAATGATTCAAAAGATGATGAATGTTGGATCAACAACAACAATAATCGGGAATCGTTTTTTTCATTTTTTTTTTTTTTTTTTGTAAGAAAAAACCAATGCGGTAAATACACTGACACACACCCACACACATATCATTAAACTCAACAACAACAACAACACTTTCATTTTTTTTAAAAGTTTTATTATTTGTATGGGTGTGTGCGAGCATCAAACATCAATCATCATCACTTACCTCCTTATCTCTATATTTATTATTGTAGAATCATAAACGATTGTTGTGATCCAACAACATCACTTTATTATTATTGATGTCCATAACCCCATGGCCGCCATATTGCTTCATAATTTGGTAATTCACTACCATTACGTTCATTACCAACAAAATTTGTTTGTTGTTGTTGTTGTTGTGATAATTCAGCATAAAATGGTGATGGTTTTGTTTCACCAATTGGTTTTAATTGTTGTTGTTGTGATGATTGTTGTTGTTGTTGTTGTTGATCAATTTTAGCTAATAATAATGTTGTATAACTTGGTGAATATTCAGATTTTGTTGATGATGATGATGATGAACAAGTTGATGATGATGATGATAATGAATTTGATGCATTTGATGTTGATGATGAACCACAAGATGATAATAATTTTGATTTAAGCGGATGATATATTTGTTGTTGTTGTTGTTGTTGTTGTTGTTCGTAATCATTTGTTGTTGTTGTTGTCATCGATGATGATGAATGACAACTACTACCACTTGTTCTTCTATGTCTATGTTGTTCCAATAAACTAAGATGATCTAATTTTTTAATCAAATGTTTTGATTGTTGATCTAAATCTTTATTATTATTATTATTATTATTATTTGATGTTTGATCTTGATCAGCAGTAACAGCAGCAGCAGCAGCAGATGATAATTCTGGTTTATTTTCTAAATAATTTCTTGTATGTTGTATAACACCCGATGATTTTTGATTATTGTTCATCATCATCATCATTGCTGTTGATTCGGAAAATATATTATTATTATCCGATTGATAACCAGAAATACTACCACTACGGTGTTGATGATCATTGAAATAATGTTGCTGTTGTTGTTCATCAGCTGAATAATGACCATCCGAATCACCACCACCACTTGTTGCCATACGATTCTTTATTTCATTCAATTCAGCATGTAATGTTGACAGATTAACGCTCATTATTTTTCCTTGTTTTTCCTGTAATAATTTTTCACCATCTAAATCTAATTGTTTCATTAATTTTTCAATTATAATCATAAATGATGAATGATAATCATCATTATTTGCTGAAACATCTGCTTGTTGTTGTTGATCATCATCATCCATTTTAATCGATTGATCATCATCTGCTTCGGAATTGATTTTAGAAGAACTATCATCATTTTGTTGTTGTTTTTCGGTTATTTTATCATTATTTACAAAATATTCATTTATTAATTTTGTAAATAAATTTTTACAATCATCAAAACCTTGTTGATAAATACGTCGTTCTTCCAATACTAATGATTCAAGATATTTTACAGTTATTTCCAATATATCGGCTTTTTCAAATCGTTTGTTGTACTAAAAAAAGTCAATGAAAAAAGACAATGAAAAAAACAATGAAAGCAATGAAAAACACAGCAAAATTAAACCAAAATTCAAGATTGATTGACATCTGATTGATTTGATTGAAAATCAAATCAAATCAATATTGTTTACACTTACATTCGATATTGGATAACGTTTTGAATCAATAATCAATTGTTTTAATATATTCAATGAACGATTAATACGATCACGTCTTCGTTTTTCAATCATTGGTTTAGATATTTTTTTATGATATTGTTGCTGTTGTTGATGATTGGTGGCTGAAGTTTTTGATGATGATTGCTGTTGATGTTGATGATCTTGATGTTGTTGTTGTTGACTATGATTATTATTATGATGATAATGAAATGCATGCTGTTGTTGTTGTTGTTGTTGGTGAGCAAAAAATCCTTGAAAATGTGATATTTGTCCCAACAATGCTTTACTGTTTGCATCAAAATTATCAAATTTTTGGCCAAAAATTGTATCCAATGATGATGATGTTGTTGTTGTTGTTGATGTTCGAACGGTAAAATGTTGTCGATGATGATGATTTGTTTCATTTCGAATTTTATCATCCTGGAATCCTTCTGATTGTCGATTCGATTGTTGTTGTTGTTCGGTAATTATCATCATTTGTTCATCTTGTTGTTGTTGTTGTTGTTGTTCATTTGTTTGTTGATAATATAATGGTTTTATTGGTAATTCTGCTTGATTTGGTTGCATTGGTCGTAATAGATTTTGTTGTTGTTCCAATATTGGATTCAAAATACGACAAAAATTTGTTACATTTTTATTTTCATTATGTTTTTTCGTTGATGATTGAGATGATTGATTGTTTTTTCCATCAATAGATGTTAAATGTCCTGGTGGTGTCGTTATAGTTGATGATTGTTGTTGTTGTTGTTGATATATCGATGGTGAACGGCTTGATGTTGGTGTTGTTGATGGTGATGTTTTTGATGATGATGTTGGTGGTGGTTGTGGATATTGTTGATCCAAATTAAAACATTCTCCATCATAACAATCATCATTATTTTTTCGTTTATATTTTGAACTTTTTTTCTTCTCATTCGTCGATGTTGATGTTGTTGATTCAATTTTTATCGAATTATTCGATGATGATTTTATCGATGATGGATCGATTAAATTCGGAAAATTTAATGATGGTGATGATGCTCTTGATGATTGTTGTGATGATGTATGTGATTTTGGTGATTTTGGCCGATGACGTAATAATTGTCTAGCCGTTGATGTCGAAATAGTTTCGAATGAATTTTCCGTTTGTTTTGTTGATTGTTGTTGTTGTTGTTGCGGTTGTTGTTGTTGCATTTTTATTCAATCAAAATATTTTTGTTGTTTTTGTTTTTACAATCGATACCCAATTCAGGATCAAAGATTCATAATTATTTTCAATGAAAAAGTAAAAAAAACGGTAAATATTAATAATAATGATTATTTAAAAACTGACAATGATTAAATGCTTTTTAATAAAGTTTTTTTTTATTATAAATAACCAGAAAAAACAAAAATTAATAGATCCAGTCTACTTATTGTCTATACCGTTAGCAACATCATCAAGATGATGATGATCATCATTATTATCGTAATCGAGTAAAAAAAATTGATAATGGTTTTCTGGTTGTATTTTGTATGTCGTTGTCGTTGTTGTTGTTGATCAATTTGGACCCACATTATAAAATTATTATCAACATTTATCACACCACGCACACACACACACATCCAATTCTAATCATCATCATTATTATCGTAATCACGAGGATTATAAATGGTGCTTTTCTGATTTTTTTTCTTCTTCTATACTTTCACACCATCCATACATCCAGCCAAACAACAGAGCAAAAAAAAAACCAGAAAAATGTACATTTTTTCCCGATGATGATGATGATAATCAATGTGGTTAATGCTTGTTTCATTTTTCTGTTCCTGAGATATTGTCTTTGCTTTGACTATAGAATCGAAAGATTTTGTTTGCCTTCCCCTTTTTTTTGGAGAGTGGGGTGGGGGTTAATATTTATTATTTTGATCGATTTTTTTGGGATATTTTTTTTTTATTGATCAAAGTGATCCGTTTTTGGTGATAACTGGTTAATGTTGATGGTGGTGGTGATGGCTCCAAATCATATAACAACCAAGAAAAAAAAACAATATCGCGCGAGACTTTATGACGGCATATTTATAACACAAGAAAACCAGAAAAAAAATCAAATCAAATCAAATCAAATTGAATTGAATCAAATCGAATCGTTTATATTAACACTTGGGTGTATCGCACGTGTTTTTTTTCGCCCTTCTTTTTTAAAAATATTATTAATCTTGTCGGGTATACATGCGATCCACGCATCAAAATACAACATCTACACTTTTCTGGTTCGATGGCATTCGATATATTTTTGGGTTGTTGTTATCAAATATGCCCAAATGATATTAAGTTTTTCTTTTCTTTTTTTTTGCTTTGCTTTGCTTTTATTTCAACATTGATAACGATGGAAGGAATAGAGTTGAAAATTTTCTTGGTGATCACAATCGATCGATGCTATCGATTATTATTCGACATCAAAAAATCGATTCGATGGTTGGATTGATTGATTGATTTTTTTTTTGATCAACGTAAGAAAAAAAAATAGCATGATGAGCATAATAGTAACATAGATTTTTTTTTCAAATAATTTAAATAAATCAATAACACTGTGTTTGCAGTGCAATCAAACTTTGATCAATCGATTGGATTGATTGATTGATTTATCATCAATCAATCAATCAGATTGTCAATAAACTCAATGAACATTCATAACAACAACAATGTACCGGACATTAATCGTTCGAATCGATTGTACACAATCGATACAATCATAAATTCATGTACATGTACTCAATTTTCTCCAAACAAGGTTTTTTCAAACAATCTTTTAAATCTTAAAATAGATTTTCATTTTGTATCCATTTTTTTCAATTAAAAAAACAAATAACGATACTTTGTATCCAATTTTCTCAATTTTAAAAAGAAAGAAGAAACAATATATCGGTTCTAAAGTAACTAAAACAAATGATTATTGCCATGGTACCATGGTTATCATCAATATCAAATGATAAATTCTTTTCAACAAGAAAAAAAATCATCAAGAAACGTTTTTTATTGAAGAAATTCATTTATGATGGTGATAATCAACACAAAATTTGTTTGATGGTTTATCTTTTAAATTCTTTTAAATTATTTTACGACATCAAGATCATTTCAAATTATGAATATGTTTTGTCATCGATTGTGTTGGTGTTTTATGATTATGATGATGATGATGATGATGATATAATGATTTTTAAAATCTTTTGAAAAAGGATTATCATCCAAAAATTTTTTATTTTATTTTTCGCAGTCGTCCTTCTTTTTTTTTTGTCTTTTCTTTCGAACGTGATCATCATTTATGAAGTTGATGATAACGATGCTTGGCTGTATTTGGACAAACAGAAAAATTATTGCCTTGTTCCAAAGTTCATCACCACATTGATATTACCTATTAGATACTATTACATACGACCGAAAAATGATGATGATAATAGTCGATGCAACATCCAGTGAAAATGATGATTTCAAGCCAAAAAATCACGAAATTCTTACGAAGTTTGAATTGGGGAAAACGCAGAAAAAAACAAAGATGATGTGCTGATGCTTGATAACAATTTGATATTTTGTCATCGAAAAAAGAAAAATCAATATCTTTCAATCAATCAATCAATCAATCAAGCGGTTTTTTTTCTGTATCTTTTCGATTGATTACATGGATGCAACAACCAAAAAAAGAAAAACTGAAAATCTTCTCTTTCTACATGGTTTGGTTCATAAAAAAAAATTCATAAACAACGTAAACATCCCAAATTTGGTCAATTTTTTTTTTGGTTGAAATTTTCTCTCGGATTCATTTGCTCATCATCATCTTATGTGCCTTTTTTTGGCGTTGGTTTTTGCGTTTGAGTTCTCATATCTCATGGAAGAAAAGTATCGTAAAAAAATTTGATAACCAAAAAAAAAATGTATCTGGTTTTTTTTCTGTTATCTAAAAGTTTTTTTCTGGTTAAATTTCCTTAATGGCACGATCAAGGGATATTACAGCAACAACAACAACGACGACGACGACGACGATGGACGTGTGTTTGCATTGGAAAAAAAACTTTCAATCAATCAATTGATTGATTGATCAATAAAATCATCAAACATATAAAGATAATGGTGAAATTTTTATTGATTTTTTCTTATGGAAAAAAAAATTACAGAAAATCAAAAAGCTGAATATTTCTGGATTCTAATCCGACCCGGTTGAAGCCGGTTATTACTGGCCCTTCGAACGAAATTTGGATGTTTTAAAAAAAAAATGTTTAAAACTCAACAAATATTTGTTTATCTGGTTTGTTTGTTTGTTTGTCTTGGTTTTGGTGTTTGATTGTTTGATAAATTTTCAAATCAAAATTTTTTTTTTTGAAAATTCTGTTAATTCGCTAAATGACAATAGTGTGGCGCCATCTTTTGTTCAGGTTTTCAGTTTTATAAAAATATGAATTTTAGTTTTTTTTTTGGTAAAATTTTTTTTAATTTAATCAAATTATAAACAAAAAATACAAATTTAAAGCCAAAAAATACAAACAAACAAACAAAAACATTTAATTAATTTGATGATCAGATGTTTGAAATTGAGTTTTGCGTTTAGTTTGACGTTTCATAAAACGATGTTATTGGATGATGATTATGATGAGGATTTTTTTTTGTTTTGCGTTTCGTTTTCCAAACCAATAAGATAATTGTAAATTGTAAATTCTAATAGATCATAATGATCAACAAATCAAAGAAAAATACGTCCATTTTGAATATCATCATATGAATTTTGATCCATTAAAATATATTGTTTATTTTTACGATCCAAATAATATAATGGATCACGTATATGATTAATATTGAAACCATCTTTTTCTAATGAAAATTTTGATAATTTAAATGATGCTGTCAGGTCAATTTTAGGTGTTATACGTATAAATANTGGCACGATCAAGGGATATTACAACAACAACGATGGACGTGTGTTTGCATTGGAAAAAAAACTTTCAATCAATCGATCGATTGATTGATTGATTGATTGATCAATAAAATCATCAAACATATAGTGATAATGGTGAAATGGAAAAAATTTTTTTTTTTTTTTTTTTTTTTGAAGAAAAAAATTACAGAAAATCAAAAAGCTGAATATTTCTGGATTCCAATCCGTCCGGTTGAAGCCGGTTATTACTGGCCCTTCGAACGAAATTTGGATGTTTTTTCAAAAAAATGTTTGAATCTCGCAAATATTTGTTTATCTGGTTTGTTTGTTTGTCTTGGTTTTGATTGATTGTTTGAAAAAAAAAAAATTTTCAAATCAAAATTTTTTTCGATCGAAAGTCGTAAATGGCAATATTGTGGCGCCATCTTTTGTCCAGGTTTTCAGTTTTATAAAAATTGAATTTTAGTTTTTTTATGGTAAAATTTTTTTAATTATTAATCAAATTATAAACAAAAAAAAAATACAAATTTAAAGCCAAAAAAATACAAACAGAAAAATTTAATTAATTTGATGATCAGATGTTTGATTGATGAAATTGAGTTTTGCGTTTCGTTTGACGTTTCATAAAACAATGTTATGGATGATTATGATGAGGATTTTTTTTGTTTTGCGTTTCGTTTTCCAAACAAAGATAATTGTAAATTGTAAATTCTAATAGATCATAATGATCATCAACAAATCAAAGAAAAATACGTCCATTTTGAATATCATCATATGAATTTTGTTCCATTAAAATATATTGTTTATTTTTACGATCCAAATAATATAATGGATCACGTATATGATTAATATTGAAACCATCTTTTTCTAATGAAAATTTTGATAATTTAAATGATGCTGTCAGGTCAATTTTAGGTGTTATACGTATAAATAATGGTATTGCATAAGCGGGTAAACGTTTTTCCAATTGTATAAATAAATTTTCAACATTAACCGTTTGATTTGGATCAGCAATAACAGCCATACCGGCTTTACCATCACAATTACGTATTGAAACACCAAATACAACACAATCAGATAATTTAACAACTTTTTGTATAACAGCTTCTACTTCGTTTGTTGATACATTTTCACCTTTGTTTTTTTAAAGAAAGGAAAAATAGAAAGATTTCAGTTTTAAATTTTGTTTTCAATCGATAGAAAAAACATCATCATTAAAATTACCTTTCCAACGAAATGTATCACCAGTACGATCACGAAAATAAAGATAACCATAAAAATCCATTTCGACTAGATCACCGGATAAAAATGCACTATCACCATGACGTAAAACATTACGAATGATTTTTTTCTGTGTTGCATCATTATTAACATAACCTGGATATGATTGTCCGGGATCTTGTCGAATCATACCGACAATTTCACCAATTTCACCTGGTTTTATTAATTTACAAAGACCATTACGATCACGTTTATGTTCACCAGTTGTTGCATCAACACGTATAACCGTAACCGGAAAAACAAAACGACAAATAAATGGTACACAACATGGTATTATACCGCATGCACCTTCGGTAAAATCAAAATTTGCTTTTGGAAACGAGAAAAAAACGAAAAAATTATCGATTCGCAAATAATCGATCACAGTGGACCGCATGCAATTTCTTGGCAGAAAAAAAAACTTACCAACATTAGCATTGCCTTCAGTCGATCCATAAACTTCACCAATCTGGCGAATACGAAAACGATTTTTAAAATCACCCCAAATTTCTTGCCGTAAACCATTACCAAACATTAATCGTACACGATGCATTGTATCGGTTTCTTTTTTCGGTTGTGCCAATAAATATCGACATAATTCACCAATATACATTGCTACTGTACAATTATATCGGATACAATCATCCCAAAATTGTGATGCTGAAAATTTATCCCGTATAACTATTGAAGTACCAAATATAACCGATTGACATGTACCAATAGTACCGGCATTATTATGATATAATGGTAATGTTAAATAAAGTATATCATCATCACGAATACGAAATAAATTCCGTAAAATCATTCCAATCCAAACAAATCGATGATGTCTAATAATAGCTGCTTTTGGTAGACCAGTTGTACCAGATGTAAATATATAATATAATTTATCACTCATTGATTGATCATCGATTGCTTGTGGTCGTGTATAGATCATATTTTCAATACAATCATCCAACAGTTTTGCTTTAATTGTTTCCGTTATAATTTCTTTATTTTGTTCCAATGATTTTAATGATGGTTGATCCGAACCAACATAACAAAAATATTGCATTCCAGGACGTTTTGTTTCAATCAATGATATTGATTCTTCAATATCTTTTTTAATGAGGAAAAAAAAATCAAAATTGAATCAAAGGGTTAAATGTGTGGAAAATATAAAACTTACTTTTAGTTAATGTAGAATCAAATATAACTGCTTTACAATTAACAACTGTAATCGAATGAACTAATGTTTCCATACGTTGATTTGTATTGATGAATGCCGTTACAATTCCTTGTTTAGCTAAACCAAGCCAAATTCCAACAAATTCTGGTCGTGAATTCATTACTAATGCAATTTCATCATTTTTTCTATAACCAATCGATGCAAAATAATTACCAACTTTATTGGAAAATCTTTCAATATCATCAAATGTCCATTGTTCATCTTTATAATAAAAACATATTTTATCCGGATGTTTTTCGGCTAAGGATGAAAATATTTTCGGTACATTTGAATTACGATGTTTGAGCATAAAATATCTTGATTTAAGTAATGCATATCCAGCACTGTAAAAACGAGAAAAAAAAAGAAAATTAATAAAAAACACTAATATCATCGGTCAATCGATCGATCAATCAATCGATTTCTTACTCAATTTGTTTGATCAAATCAAGGACATCAATCAAATTATCATCAAATCATCATTCGGACATCATCAATTTTTTCCATTGAAAAATCATATCATTTTTTTGATTGCAATAACAGTTTTTCATTCATTCATAAAAATATTTTTGCAATCAATCAATCAAAATCCGTGGAAATTTCCCAGATATCCTTGGATTATTCATCGCACAGGAAATATTTCCGAATATTTTTCGCCTCCGAATGTTTATTTCGGAATTTTTTTACTTTTTTTTTATTTTTCACGTGGCCAACTTGACATTTTGTTTATTTGTCGTTGCTGTTGTTTCCCTGTATCATCATCATCATAATCGTCATCATTAAATTGTGAATGAAATGTTTTAAATCCAGTCAATCTCTGGCTTGTTTTCAAGGATATGTGTTTTTTTGCTGTTGTTGTTGTTTTGCAGTGATGTAATGATGAAATATCAAAAGAGATAATGATGATGATGAGATATTTCATCACTTAAATCACTAAATGATGCTAAATAATGATGATGACGACGATGACAAACCGACAGGATATCCATCATAATCATCAACAACAACAACAATTTTTGTAATTATAACAAGTGTTTTTATCTTGAAATGATGGTCAAATTTTATCAGATTTCAACAACAACAAAAAATGACATCATACTGGTGATTTTTTGGTGGAAAAAAAAGAATGTCAAAAAAATGTAAAAACCAGAAAAAAAATTCGCAAAAAAAAAAAAAAAAAATCGAACGTTTTTTTGTTGGCCAAAAACATTCGAAATGAGCATGCGCATTTCGTTTTCATTCATTTCACAAAAATGAAAATCTACCAAACAAACAACAACAAAAATAATAACAATCAGAAAAACAAATTACGAATTGACTAAAAATATCCTCTTTTGTTTGTTTGTTTGTTTGTAAGTGAAAGATGAAGATTATCATCGTAATTATGATCAAAAAAAAAATGGGGAAACAAACAAACAACAATCTAATCTGTCCTTCAAAATTTTTTTGTTTCTGTTTCTGTTGTTGTTGTTGTTATTGTTATTGTTCAAAATTTGATTGCGAATAATGAAAAAGTGTGAAGAAATGATTGCTGTTTTTTTCGGCCAATACAACAAGACAAAACAAATTCAAATTCAAAGATTATTGTTTAAAGATGAAATTTTTACTTTTTTTTTTTGTTTGAAAATTTCCAGATAAATTCAATTTTAATGTTTTTCTTCTTCTTCTTTTTCAGGAAAAAAAAACATTAAAATGCCTGGTAACCTTTTTCTCCTCGTTTTTGATCGCAGAAACAACAGAAACATTTTCGAATGTTCAAATAGTGAAAGGAAAAAATCTGAACAAACATCTGAAAGGAAGAAAATGCAAATCAGCTGCCCGGTTTCTCTCTTTATTTTTTCGAAAAGCAAAATCCGGGTTGTTAACTTTCACTTTGTGATTTTCGTGATATAAAATCAAAGAAATCAGTTAATGACAACCAGGAAAACTATTACATCACTAGTGAGACTTTACGCCCACGCATAAAATTACAGGAAAAAATTACAAGAAAAAAAAATTAAAACAAACCTTATATCACGAAAAAATGTAAAATAAAATCTTCGAACAAAATCCCAGAAAAATGCCAAAAATGTCAGTCCACTTGCCAATAATAATGATGCAATTGTCCATAAATTTAATTTAATAACTTGATCACCCAAATGGGCTACAAATAATGTTACATAGACTAGTACCATGATGATGTTTGATGTTTGATGTTTGAGATTTCAATGTTGAAGTTTTTCTTTTTTTTTAAATCAATCACCGATTATTTGATGCACATAGGAGAACAAAAATGACAAACTGAAAAATTGTCTTGTTGTTTTTTTACCCAGTTTTTCTTCTTTTCTCAGCTACACAAATCAAAAAAGAAACAAACTTGAAACAAAGTAATGATGATTTTGCTGTAATCAAACGTTAGATACGGATTTTTTTCCTGTTGCTGTTGTTGTGTACCCCAGGTTGATAAAATGTCGATTTTTTTTTTTTGATTTGAAAAATTGATTTTTCACTTTTGAAATCAGATGATGAAAAAAACAAGCTAGAATTCTTGATACAACCAAAAAAATGATGATAAAGTGACGACGACGATTATGAACAAAAAATCAATCAAATCAATTTGATTTGGATGAGAATTTTTTCTGTTCTGTTCTGTTCAGTTCATTCAACACTTTTTTTTCGATCAAAAAAAAAAATCAATCAATCGATGAGAATTATGACGTCATAGTTTTTTTTGGAAATTAATTTGATGATGTGCGTGTTTAAAAGCCAACAACAACATTACAAAAATATAAATCGTTGCTGAATTCGGGGTTTTTTTCTCCTTTTTCTCTCTCTCTCGCTCTCTTGATCGTATTTTTTTTCTCGATTTCTGGAACAGCAACTGCACACACACACACACGCACTAATAATCAATGATGTTTAACACTGAGTGACTGACTGAGTGATGTATTTTTAAAAATCTTAAAGATACTGGATGGATGAGAGAGAGCAATGATGATTTCCTGACGATGATGATGATTATGACGTTGTTTGGTTTTTTTTAATGTTTGGAATTAAAGAAGAAAAATCTTTTAAATTTTCTTTCGATTTTTTTGGTTGTCTGCAATTTCTCTTCTGTTTTTTCTCTCTCGTAAATTAGCTAATGGTTATTGTTGATTTTTCTTCATTTGTTTGTTTTGTTTTACATGGATGGATGATTAGATGGATGAATGCATTGTGTTGATTGATTGATTCGGTTCGGTTTGGTTTGATTTTAATTGATTTGTTCTGATTGATTAGTCGTAATACCTGTTCTTTTTCTCTCATTACTTACTTGATTAGTTTTTCTCACTGCAAAAATCAAATGTCAAATCAAAACAACAACAACATCTTTTTACTTTCAATCATTTTCTCTTCGTGTGTGTGTGTGTTTTGCATCGCATGTTTCGCTATGTTTCTCTACTTTCTTCGTTGACCGAGATATTATTTACTGTTGAACAAACAAAATGTTTTTCCAGCTTTCTTTCTCTCTCTTGTTGCTGATTTTATTTTTCTTCATTCAAAATCATCCTATAAGTAGCTTTTTAGAGGATCTTATTGATTGATTGGCAATGATGCGATATGCAATAATCATTTTTTTTTTTTTTTTTTTTTTTTTTTTTTTGAAGAGAAAAATTAACTGATTTTGTAATGTCATTTTGCAAAAGAGAGAGAGAGAGAGAGANAAAAAATTTTTTTTTTTTTTTTTTTTTTTTTTTTTTTTTTTTTTTTTTTGAAGAGAAAAATTAACTGATTTTGTAATGTCATTTTGCAAAAGAGAGAGAGAGAGAGAGAGACAAGAAAAAAAATTGAGCCTTTTTTGCGGATCAATAGTCCTCTCTCTTTCCATTTTTTTCCCCATTTGATAAATGATGTTTTTGGCTTGATCAATGATAACAATTGATTATGAGAGAGAAAGCGAGAAAGATCGATACTAACTAAGGGGACAAAACTTGAATTTTGGACTTGAGATTTTTAGTTGTTGTTGTTGTTGTTGTCAAGAGAGAAAAGAGGAAAATTATATATGAAAATCAAAATCAAATTTTTGTTTTTTTTTCCTGTTCCAATTTATCAATGTAGTTAAAATTGAATGTCCAAGATGTTTGATGACCTTTGATTTTTGATTTTTGATTGTAAAAGTGAAAAAAAATCTCCAAAAAAACATGACTTAAGCTGGATGATGATCATCATTCACACTGACATCACATCTGGAGAAACAGCAGATGAAGAAAAATTTAAATAATGAAAAAAACAGAGGAAAACTTCCGACTTTGTGACCTAAATTTTCTGTTTTTAATGTTTTGTTTTCGCCTTCGATTCATTCGATTCATTCATTATCGTTTGGCTAAAGGCGATTGAAAATGAAGGAAACCTTTTTTTTTCAAAATGAATCATTTCATTCGGAATTTGAAATCATTGATTAATCCAGTAAAAGAAAAATGAGATTACAAAGTTTTACTTTCGAGAGAAAAAATGAATCATAATTATCTTGCACTGAACGCGCACACCTGACCACCATCAAGGTTTTCTCGTAATTTCCAAAATTTCCATATTTTTTTTTTCGTTGAACTGAATTCCTAAGGAAAAAAAATGACTTGATGGATGGATGATTGGATGCAACAAGTGTTGAACAGAACATATTATGTAATGAACGTCAATGAACGTCATCATCATCATGATGTCAGTGATTTATTATAATTTTTTTTCTGGTTTTTTTGTTTAATTTGATAATTTCGTTTAAAAAAAGACATTTTTAAAATAGGGGTTTCACACTACAGCAATATTGCTGTGAAATATTTCATTGAAATATTTCAGTCCATAAGGCTGAAATGTAGTGAAATATTGCATTTGAAATATTTCATTCACATTGCTGCTAGTGTGAAACCCCTAAAAAAGAAATAGTAATTTAAAGTTTTTTGTAGAACAGGTTACGCCATCTATTTGTGTCTATCGGTATTAACTAGGGATTTTTTTTTGAAATTTTTTGAAAATTTTTGAATTTTTTCTTTTTATGAAATTTTTATCTGTCCATTCAGTATTTTATCATATGTTTCACTATCAATTGGAAGATATTTGGATTGTTGACAATTCCAATAATAAAGTTGATCCATTGGTTTTGTTTGTTTCAAATCAAAACCAACTTTACGTAATGGATATTTAATAAATTTTAATGTAGATGTCATTTGTATATCATCTGTAATACGTATGAATTTTGGTATAGCATAATCCGGTACGCGTTCATACATAAATTGATAAAATCTATCCAAATTTAATTGACGATCATTAGTGGCTAACATACCGGCACGACCATCATAACCAGGTACCGTAACACCATAAACAACACAATCTTGATGTTTAGTAAATTGTGAAATAATATCTTCAATTTCGGTTGTTGAAACATTTTCACCTTTCCAACGAAATGTATCACCGGTTCGATCTTTAAAATAAAGATTACCATAAAAATCCATTTCCATAAGATCACCAGAAACAAATGCAAAATCTCCTTTTGTACGAACATTACGTATAATTTTTTTTGTTGATTCTTTTGTTGATGTATAGCCAAGAAATTCGGAAAATGAATGTCCAGGTCTTATTTGGCCAACTAACATACCAGTTTCACCGGGTTTAGCAAATTTACACAAACCATTACGACGACAACGTTCCAATTCCATTGTTTCAGGATCAACTTTAATTAGATAAACATGAAATAAAAGTCTACATAAAATTCCATAATAATAGGGGATAAATCCGCATGATCCTTCAACATTAGTCATGTTGACTATGTGAGAAATTGAGGAAAAAAAGGGTTAAATTTGGCTTCAAGCTCAATTCAAATGCAACATACATGTTTGAACATTTCCTTCGGTAGATCCATAATATTCTCCAATACGCCGAATATGAAATCTTGTTTGAAATTCGCGCCAAATTTCACGTTTCATACCAGGTCCCATCATAATACGTAATGAATGTTGTGTTTCTTCCTGACGATATGGTTGTGCTAATAAATATCGACATGTTTCACCAATATAAATGGCTGCCTATTTTTAGGAGAAATTTTTCAGTAAAAAAAAATGTTTACAGGATTTTTTTTTTGCATTCAAAAAATAACATACCGTACATTGATATTGACAGCAATCTTTCCAGAATTTTGTTGCTGAAAATTTATCCGCCAATGTAATTGTTATACCACCAATAAACATATAACCAAGACCAGTAATACCGGCAAATGAATGATAACAAGGTAAACAAATATAGATATTATCATTTGAATTTAGATCAAATGCACGACATTGTGAAAAATATGATGCAATTTGTCTAACATTATCTGCTGGTGATGCTTTTATATTACCACCAGTTGTACCAGATGTAAATATATAAATCATTTTATCTGTAAATTTATATGGGTATTTTTTCAATACACTTGTTGTTGGATATGTTTGCAGTAGTTTTGAAAATTGTAAATGTTTTTCATTTTCATTATCATTATCCACCGAAACATTGATGAGATCCATACGTGTCATACCATCATAGTTGAAGTCAATTTGAAGTAAATTTTTATCAATCGATTGTTGTCGCTGCGGTTGTTTAATTAAATCACGATCATAAAGAAAAAATTTTATATCAGGTAAATTCTCGGCTACATCTTTAATTGCTTGTAAATATTTTCTTTCAAATATAAATATTTGACATTTGGTTGCTTGGAATGCATTGATCAATGTATCACGACGATGATTTGTATTGAACATTATTGCCGAACATCGTACACGTGCAATACCGATTAAAAAACTTGCCAATTCCGGTATATTACCCAACATTAGTCCGATTTGTGTTGTTTGTAAATTATCATTAAATTGTTGATAGATTTTTGTTTGTATAATATTTTCTTTTCCGTTATTATTAACTTGTTGTTGCTGTTGTTGTTCATCATTACTAATAACCGAAACTTTATGTAATAATTCCCATTGATCATCATGACCAAGTTTCAGTGATGATTCAATCCAATTTGAAATACGATTAGCTAAATCCGAAACATTTTCAAATGTATATTGTTCATCTTTATAGAATATTGCCGGTTTTTCGGGAAATTTCCGTACATTTTCATCAAAAAAATGTAACATAACAATATTTTTTTGCTTATACCAAAACATTTTTATCTGAAATGTTACTAATAATATTATTGACCTGATAATGATAATAATTTTGTAAAAAATTTATAAAATTTATAAAAATTACATTACAATATTTTCATTTACAAAACATACCGAATATCACGTGTCAACATAACATAGAATAATTTCATCCATTTACGTATCGAATCAGCCATTTTGATTGACATTTTTTACCACTGAAGTTTTGTTACTAGAATCGATGATTGATTGATTTTTTTCTGGTTTTTTAAACAAGAAAAATATACACAATGTACGTCAGACAGAGAGAAAATCAATCAATCAATCAATAAGCTTGATCAATTCACAATTCCTGTAATGATGATGATGTTTTTGAACATTTTTTTTCAAGGAAAAAAACCAAATTTTGATTGAATTGAAGGAAATTGTTTGTTTTTTTTTTGTCATTAATGATATAGATTGATTGATTGATTGATGATTTTATTTTTGGGGACGCAAAAAAAAAAGGAAACTTTTTTACTTTTTTTTTGAACAAGGTAAAAAAGGCTGAAATTTCGTTTTCTGGAAAGTTTCTTTCTGGTAAACTTTTTTTTCGTTGTCTGGTTATATGGCTGGCCTGAAAATGATTTGGGACAATTCTTTTCAAACAACCTAAATACGATTTTTTGTTTGGTATCAAACACACAGAAAATGGAATCATTCAACGATTATCAATCAATCACCAACTTCAAAATATTTATTTTGATGAAAATTAAACACAAAACACAGCAAAACCAAGACAAAAATGATAATATTTAGGTTTAGGTCGATGACTAGTGATGATAAATAAATAAAAAACGGAATGAATGATGTTTGTACATATGAAAAATGTTTGTGTTTATTTATTTCTTTATTTGAACGATGATAACGGAAGATGATTTGGCTGAAACAAGCGAACGACGACGAAGAAATGTAATCCAAAGATTCATTGAATAAATCAATGGATCGATATACGAAATAATCGAGAAAAGTCGGACTAGTCACGACGGTCAAGTCGAAAAAGGTTTTGAGAGAGAGCCACTAAAACACATTTCAAAGTAACTGATCTCGGAAACGATAAACAAGAAAAAAGAAAAGTACATGGAAAGATCAGAAGAACAACAAGTAGTAAAACAGATAATGGTCATTTTGGAAAAAAATTTGATACAGAAAATCAAATTATCATCCACAACCGCATCTCTTCCCTTGTTTCAAAAAATTCAAATGATGATGAACTTGCTTCTAGTTTGATACGATGAAAATCCGATAATCAAAAAAGAAAAGGAACAAAAATTTATTCACAACGGGAATGGTAATTATGTTGCCACGGGCAACGATCGATCGATGGATGGATGGATCATCATCTTATTTCCCTGATTATTGATTTTGTAAATCTCATTACAAAGAAAGTTTCTTTAATTATTATAAGGGGCAAAAAAAAACTTTATTATTAAAACAAAAAATTATAAATAATTCCCCCCTTTGGTAATAGGTATTTATAATACTAAAAATATAAAAATATAGCCTGAAAGAATGTTAGATGTTGAGGGGATTCCAAATCGATGATGGTGATGATGATTGATTTATTGATTGATTGATTGGTTAAATATTGATCAAATTCGTATCGAACCATTAATAATTTTTTCATAAATATCCATATCCATTAAATGATAACGTTGTGTTTGACGATCAAAATAATAAATCTGTTCATTTGGTTTTAAATTTTTCAAATCAATACCATCATTACGATATGTATATTTAATATATTTATGTGTACTTGTATGTTCAATTTCATCTAAAAATCGAATGAATTTCGGTATAGCATATTCAGGTGCACGTTTTTTCATATAATCATATAATTTATCCAGATCAATTTTTCGATCAGTTAATGCTGTCATACCACAACGTCCTTCATAACCAGGTATTTCAACACCATAAACAATACATGCTTTATGATCAATAAATTGTGATATGATTGATTCAATTTCGGTTGTCGAAACATTTTCACCTTTCCAACGGAATGTATCACCTGTTCGATCTTTAAAATAAAGATTACCATCCCAATCCATTTCCATAAGATCACCGGAAACAAATGCATAATCACCTTTACGTCTAACATTTTGTACTAATTTTTTCGATGATTCTTTTACCGATGCATAACCAAGAAAATGTGTTGTTTCGGAATTTTGTCTTATTTCACCGATTAACATACCAGTTTCACCTGGTTTGGCCATTTCACAAAAACCATCCTCACCACGTACAATTTCTTTTGTATCTGGATCAACTTTAACAAAATATATTGGATAAAATAAACGCATAATTTTACCCCAATAATATGGTAAAAATCCACATGCACCAGGTACTTGTAAAAGATTAACTTTTCATGTATGAAAATTGTTTAAAATTAAAATTAAATTAAATCAAATCAAATGAAACAAACTTACAAAGTGCAGTATTTCCTTCGGTTGAACCATAATATTCATAAATATTTTTAATATGAAATCTTTTAACGAATTTTTCCCAAACAAAACGATTCATACCGACACCCATAAATTTTTTTATTGAATGTTTACGATCATAATCACCTGGTGGACGTGATAATAATATTCTACATAATTCACCAATATAGATTACAGACTAAAAAAAGAAAAAATTTAACAAATTAACAAAAAAGGCAAAAAGCAACTCTCTCAATCAACACTTACTGTACATTTATTTTCATAACAATCTTTCCAAAATTTCGAAGCAGAAAATTTATCCACTAATGTTGTAATATTACCATTAATAAATGTAGAACCAATACCCATTATACAACCTAATCCATGATAAATTGGTACACAAACATAAACATTTTCCTTTGAATCAATACCGAATGCAAAATACATTAATAAATTAATAGCAACAAAACGATAATTATTAACAGCAGCAGCTTTAATTTTGCCACCAGTTGTACCAGATGTAAATATATAAGCAATTATATCATTCATTTTGTATGTATAATTTTTCCGTACACGTGTTACTGGATATGAATCAAGAATCTGGGAAAATTTTTCATCATTTTCCAAAATATTTCCATTAATAAGATCATCACGTGTAAATCCTTTATAATCTAAATTCTTTTCATGTTTTCCCGAATCATTTCGTATATTTCGATCATACATTATGAATCGTATACCATCAGGTAATCGGTCGGCAATTTCTTTTAAAGCTGGCAAATATTTTGATTCAAATATAAACATTTTACAATTGGATGCTTCAAATGCATTCAACAACAGATCATTTCGATGATTATAATTAAATAATACAGCAGCACAACGTACACGACAAATACCGATTAGAAAACTTGCCAATTCCGGTACATTACTAAACATTAAACCAATTTTTATTGAATTTTGATGTCGTCGTACAATATTTAAAACATTTGATGATGAATTATCATCATTTTTTGATTGTTGTTGTTTTTTCAATTCTTCCTGCTGCTGTTCATATTCATCATCACAACCTAATTGTAAACAATTTTCAAACCAATTTGATATTTTATTTGCTAAATCATCTAATGTTTGATATGAATATTTTTCACCATGATAAATAATTGCCGTACGATTACGAAAACGATGTAAAACACTATCAAAACAATGTATTAATGTTTGATTTGTCCAAATCATCCATTTTAAACGTAATACAACTCTAAGCAATAATATTAGACTCCTGTGTGAAAATAATTTTACAAAATTACAAAATTACAAATTACAGATTACAAGCAAATTACAAACAAATTACCTTATATCACGAACAAATGTTAGATGAATAATTGAACCAAAATAACGTAATTTTTCATAAAAATTTTTCATTCCCATCATTATTGATCAGGGTTGGATTGTTTTTCTTTACAAAAATTTATTTCACAAATCACAAAATAAAACACACAGAAGAAAAAATTTTTCCAAAGATGAATTCATCTAAAATTTTTTTGCCTATTTTTATAATCATCAATTTTCTAACACTCTCTCACTCTCTCACTCTCTTCCTGTCGAATGACATCATGATACACACACAGACAGTGGATACAGTAGTAACCAAAACAACAGTAGTTATCATTGTTGCTGATGAAAAATATTCGGGTAAAATCGTACCCTAATATCAATAAACATTCATTCATTCATTCGAATTCAGGATATGTATCTTGTAATTTGTTCATCACACACATATATGATTCGAATTATAAAGAAAATTTCATGTTCTCATTTTAATTATTCAAAACATCTTTTTGATGATGATAACGATAATATTTTTTTATTTTATTTTAAAAAAATCTGGAAAAAAAGTACAATATTTCATTGGGATAATCAAATAAAACACTTGAAGGTTTTTTTTTCTATGAAAAAATTTACAAAACGAAAAAAATTACAGGATTTTTATAGTCAAAAAAATTTTTTTTATAATTTCAAATAGGAAAAGTTTCCAGAAATTTTGTTTTTTTCAATGGAAATTTTTTTGTTTTCCTTTTCAAAACTTTTATCATTAATTTTCTTTAACCAAGAGAGACACACAATGAAACGACCTTTGAGCAACAGCAAAACATTGATAAAATGATCGATCGATCGATCGATTGATTGATTGATTGATTGATTTAAAATTGAATAAAACCATTTATAATTTTATCATAAACATCATAATTCATTTGTAAATATTTTTGATTTTGACGATCAAAATAATAAATTTGATCAGTTTTTGGTTCAAAACGATTCAAATCAATACCTTGTTCACGTAATGGATATTTAATATATTTTTGTGTACCAGTTAATTGAATTTGTTCAGTAAATCTTATAAATTTTGGTATTGCATATTCCGGTATACGAGTTTTCATAAATTCCAATAATTTATCTAAATCAATTTGATTATTATTATTATTTGTTGTTGAATTATCATTGGATTTAGAATTAATAGCCAACATTCCACAACGACCTTCATGACCAGGTACAATAACACCATAAACAATACAATCTTGATGATTAATAAATTGTGTAATGATTGATTCAATTTCGGTTGTTGATACATTTTCACCTTTCCAACGAAAAGTATCACCGGTTCGATCTTTAAAATAAAGATTACCATAAAAATCCATTTCCATAAGATCACCGGAAACAAAAACAAAATCACCATGTTGTCGTACATTACGTATTAATTTTTTGGTAGATTCTTCTGTTGATGTATAGCCAAGATATTCAGTAAATATTTGTCCTTTACGTATTTCACCGACCATCATACCAAGGTCACCATTTTTAGCCATTTTACAAAGACCAGTTTTTGAATCTCGTACTAATTCTAATGTTATTGGATCAACTTTTAATATATGACATGGCCATAATGCATAAAGTAATGGACCATAATAATATGGTATGAAACCACATGAACCGGGTACATTTTGATGATTAGCTATCAATCAAATCAAATCAATTGAAGATTAGAAATCAAAACAAGACAATTAACCAATCAATCAATCAAATTAGATACTTACCAATAAGAATATTTCCTTCACTTGATCCATAATATTCAGCAATTTTTGGTATATTAAAACGTTTACGTAATTTAATCCAATGTTCTTTATTCAGACCCAGACCGAATAACATACGTAATGAATGTTTTTGATCATCCGATTGTTCGGGTTGTGCTAATAGATATCTACATATTTCACCAATATATAATGCAATCTTTGACAAGTGGGAAAATAAAGTTTTAGAAAATAAGCGATTGATCAACAAAAAAATTTGATACATACTGTACATTGATTTTTACGACAATCATTCCAAAATTTGGATGCTGAAAATTTTTCAGCCAATGTAATTGTATTACCATCAATAAATATTGAACTTAAACCAATAACACCAGCAAATGCATGATAACAAGGTAAACAAACATAAAAATGATCGGATTTACGAAAACCGAAAACTAATTTATGTGAAAGATTACCACCAATATAACGTACATTATCGACTGGTACACATTTAATATTACCACCAGTTGTACCGGATGTAAACATAAATTGAACCATATCGGACATTTTATATGGATAATTTTTTTTAACCCCCGTTATTGGATATGCATTTAAAATCGATGCAAATTTCCATGATGATGGTTCAATAGTATTTTCAATTAAATCCTGTCGACTAATACCATTATAATATTGATCGATAATAATTTGATTTTTTGATTCATTACGATCATACATAAAAAATCGTATGTCCGGTAATTCATCAGCAATATCTTGTATAGCTGAAAGAAATTTTGGTTCAAATATGAATATTTTACAATCGGTTGCACGAAATGAATTCAATAATAAATCACGACGTGTGTTTGTATTGAATAAAACAGCTGAACAACGTACACGTGCAATACCGATAATAAAACTTGCCAATTCCGGTATATTACCAAACATTAAACCGATTTGTGTTGAACGTTTATTATTTTCAAATTTTTTTAATATTTTTGCTTCACGATTTAATGGAAAATCATCATCACCTGTTTGTTTTGTATGATTCAATTGTTCCCATTCATCATCATGTCCTAATTGTAATGTTGTTTCAAACCAATTGGATATTTTTTGTGCTAAATCCGAAATATTTTTAAATGTAAAACATTCATCATTAAAATGTATAGCTGTTTTTTCTGGAAAACGTTGTACATTATAATCAAAATATTTTATTAATACACGATTTTGTCGTAGAATCCATCGTATACGTATTTGAAATGTAAAAAATAATATTGCACACCTGTAAAATGAAACAAAGAAAAACAAAAGAAGATGAACATTTTCAATCAACAAAATCCACATAACAAACACCAAAAAACAAACACACACTTACACGAGATCACGAAATATCATAATATAAAATAGTTTGGGCAATTTACGAATCAAATCGATTATTTCAGACATTTTAAACATTTTTCTGAATATTTTGTTTTTATAACTTATAAATTATGGCAACGATGATGATTGCTTGAAAACAAAAAAACAAATTCGGGAAAAAATCATCACCAAAATTAACCCGAAATAATTTAGTTTGAAAAAAAATCAATAATTTTTCAAATGAAAAACTATTTTTTCCAAATCTATCATCATCGATTTGGAATTAGGAATAATAAGAAGAAGAAGAAGAAAAGATTGTTCGCAAAAATAATAATAATCATTAAACAAAATCAATGATGTTTTTCTCTTTAATTATCAGTTATTTTTTTGTTCGAAACTTTATTATAATCCAAATTTTTAAAAAACAAAAACAACAAAATATAGGAAAAAGAAACATAATCTCTTTATTCTCTCTCTCTCTCTCTCTCTCTCTCTCTCTCTCTCTCTCTTCATTATTTATTTTATCCATGATCTCTCGGCATCATTATCATCATCCAAAAAAAAAANCACATATCTTCACAATTTTTTTATATATTCTCTTTATTTTCTCTCTCTCTCTCTCTCTCTCTCTCTCTCTCTCTCTCTCTCTCTTCATTATTTATTTTATCCATGATCTCTCGGCATCATTATCATCATCCAAAAAAAAAAACAAACTTGCGAAGCTAAGCAAAAAAAACTCTGAAAATGGATAGTGAAAATTTTTTTTGATGGTCAAATAAACATACATTTCGAAAACACATTTTTTTTTGTTCAATGAATCTTTTTTGTGTTTTGTCAAAATCAAGAAATTAGATTTTTTTTGGGGGAAGAAAAGTATGGGGGAAGGATCCATAGAAAATATCTTTTCAACGATAAAGATTATGTCGACCTTGTAGCCTTGTTGTTTATAGATTTGTATCATGGCTTTGAATCGTTTGATTAAACATTACTTTTACAACAAAACTAAAATTAAGAGTATCCTGATTTTTGTTGTTGTTTGTTGTTCATCCATTTGAAAAATATCTGTGTCTGTGTTCCAAATGAATCATTTTAACGTAAATATTGATAATGATAATCAATTTTTACGTTTTTCTAATGGTTACTTTGGACACGTTTTTACTCTAAATAATCCAAACGCATTTGTTGTTTTGACCACATTTTTTTTCTCTCTCTCTCTCTCTCTTTCAGTCCAATGAAATTTCTCTCATTATTGATGAAATGATAATTAGTTTTTTTCGTTTCGTTTTCTTCGTTGCTTAAAACATCGTATAATGATTTGATGGATATAATGATGTTTGAAATGAGAAGAAAGAAAAGAAGAAAAAAATCTAATTTAACAAATCCAAAAAGGTGATTGTCCTCAATCAAATCGATTCAATCACAAATCAATAATTATGTAATCCTCTCAAATTAGATTCAAAATTTTGTTTTATTGGATCCAAAAACAAACTTTGTGGAAATTCGATTCTTTCATTTATTAGTTTTCAGGCATTGAAAAAATTTGAAAATCAGAAAATTTTCTCTCGAAAAAACAACCAAATTCAATTTGTTTATCATCATTGTAAACACACAAAGATTTGATGATTTTTGGACTGAAAAATCGATTGAAAGAAAATCGTATCATCAAGTACTTTACCCAAACAAAAATGATACCAGATTTTTTTTCTTTTTTTGCTTCCAGATACAGATGATGATATGATTTTGATTGAATTTTTTCCTCTGATAAACATTTTCTGAAAAAATTTTCAAATTTTGATAATTAATTAGAAAATGTTTTCGAAATTTTCCCAATCTATATTGATGGAAAAATTGCTCAATTTTCATTCATTCATTCATTTAGTATGGCAAAAAATGACGAAATTTTTCATTTGAAAAAAAGTATTTTTTCCCAAAAAAAAACAATCGTAATGTAATCGAATGATCCGATACAGCAACTACCAACTTTTGAACGTATTTTATGGTCTGATCAGACTTGCAA